CGCCACCGCCTGCCTCCCACTTGTGTGCCGGCCACGACTTTATCCAGGGGTAGCCCCTCTCAGATGGAAGCATCTAAGGCAACCACCGATTTTTAAAGGCTTTAACTTCCCAAAATAAATAAATGGGGAAACTAGGAGTTACTTCCTTCTGCATCACATACGGCCGGGGGTGATTTTTAACTACGCCCCATTTATTTGGCGCTTGGACGTTCCCATGGGTATCTCCAAGCTTTTGTAGCTTCTGCAGAGCCCCGGGATCAAAAAGTGAAGCATTAGACAGAACTCCAAATAAGTTACCTCACCGACCTAGGAGTTAGAAGTGGGAAAATAATTTTCATCTTGCGTTTCTCGCTTCTGCCAGGACACATTCCTTTAGTAAGACGAGCGTGAGCCCAGCGGGCAGGACCGAGCCTTTTGCCCCAAAAGAACTTTTCCAAGTAGCAGTTGCTGTTAATTGCTTCATTTAACTAATGAACTAATTTAACTAACTAAACAGGGACGGCAGGGAGCCAGGAATTATGTATAATATGACTGACGGCACTCTTCTCTTTTCTGTATTTAAAGGCAATCCAGAACTACCAAGAGCAGTTAACATAACTTGGTCTTCAATCAATTTTAAAACTATACTACAGTGGCAACCAAAACCATCGGGTTACTTTTATACAGTAGAAATACACGGGTAAGTAGATAACACCAAGGTGTGCCCATTAACAGCAACTGAAGAAGATGCAAATAGAGCGTGTTTGGATATTGCTGAGGCTGAACGCGACGGGAAAAGAGCCCAAACATGAGGATTTAGGAAAATTGCCAAGCCAGCTGTTAATACTTCCTTGTATCCAACTATAGGAATATCTGGTTTGGGCTTCTGGATTTGCGTGCTTCAGAAACGGGGAGCTGAGCTATAGATCAGTGTTTCAGCTCCGGGGTTTGGTGCGGGCCAGCTGCACTGGAGTTCTAGGCCAAGATACCGTAAAGAAGTTGACACTCACTTTGACATACCACGTAGCAAATAGAACTTCACTTCTTTATGTCTTTCAAGGTGTCTGGACTAAGTCTTTCGTCTTTAGTCTCGGAAGGTGTCTGATAAATACCAGTCTGCATTTTATTCTAATCAGTGAATCACAGCAACTGAGTAATTTGTCTTGCTGGGTGATACTAGAAATTACCTTTGTTCATCTACCTCTGTCGAGACTTCCTCCGTCATCATGTTTTATGCAAGCTATGAAATATTGTGGACATAAAAAGTAGCCAGCTTATGTGAAGTGTCTAATGCCTCTTTCAATACTGCACAAGAACTTCCGTGAAGTTCAGTAACAAATCTGTGCTGTTCTTAGCTCCCATATTAATTCATAGACCATTATTAAACATGCCCCAAAGGGAAACTGCATCATCAACTCTCTTACATATTAATGCAAATAAGGTACTGGAGTCTCTTCTGTCTGTAAAAGTGGCATAGAAATGAGAGGTCTCTCATGACTAATGGATGAAACACCAGTGCAATGGCCTAATGTGCTCTTTTATTCTTTAAGGGAGTGATTAAATTAATAGACTTAAACCAACAGGCTAGCAGAATGAATTTTATGGAAATTATGAATCTGGAGTTTCCTTCCAGCCATTTGTGCTTGCCAAAAACTGAAGTCTGTCTGCCCAAGATTCAGTATAGAATCAGGTATCGTTCCGACACGGAGACACTTCTTTAGACAAGTTGCTCTTATGGATGAAGTGCGCTTAGATGCTTGCTTTCTCATCTATCTCCATTTGCAGAGTGCGTTTGGTCGATCACAAAGATCAGATCTCCTCTGTCCCTTTTCAAGGCATCTCTAGGACACTATCACTAACTGATTTGTGACATTGTAAGAAATCTGGTGAAGTGAGAAGGGAGTTCAGGCGACTTTGACATAAAACTTGGCCTACTTGGAGGAAAACTCATTTGTTATTTTCCAAACAGTGGGCACTCTTGCTCTTTTAGCTGAGATCACGCAATTTTTCTTTTCCTTAGTTCACCAGCAAAAACAGGGAAAAAAATTGAAGCAGTAATATCTAATCTGCTTTTCCATTCCTTCCTCTTAAGAAGTATAATGCGGAATGAACATTTTTTCCTGGTGTCATTATTATTTCTCAAGCGAATGGACCTGCTTTCTATTATTTAAGAATCAAGAGAAGTGCATGGGTCGCGGGTTTTGTCAATATTTTTTTATTGTAATTCTGCAACTTAAATTGCTGCTACTGTCTGGTTCTTAGTGACATTTGCACCTGCATAGATGCAAAACCAAGGGACATATATGAGACATTGTGGTCACATGAAACAATCAATCTTGGTGTCACCAGAGCTTCCTAGGACAACTGATGTTTCTTAGGGCAGTAGTTTCCAGATGCATCAGGGATAACACTTTCAAAGTGATTTATGCATCTTACCTTTTTTTTAAAGAAGTCAACTGCAGAAAAATCCAAAATCAGGACTACTTATAGTTTCTATTCAGTTCATGTAAAAGATTGAATTTTTAATTCATATACATATCCACTAACATATTTCTATAGTTAATATGGATCGTATTTGATTTACTTGATTCTGCTTTGAATTGTGAAATATAGCTGTACAGGATAGTGGTTTTTGAGGTTTTTTCTTCTCCTTTTTTAGCCTAGTACACCTGCAAGGCTGTTCCACTGGATGAGGGAAATTTATACAGTTTGTGGGGGAAAAAAAGGGGGTTTTCAGCATATCTAAATGCGTAGAAGTCTGGTTGGAAAGTATTGACGCTTCTTTCTTGCTCTTTTCAGACAGACATCTGACACCAAAAAAAAATGCATAATGACAGCAGAAACAGAGTGTGATGTTACTGACGTGCTCAGGAATGTAAACGAGACCTACACAGCACACATACTGTCTGTAATGTCCTCGGGGATGGATAACTTTGAAGAACCACCTTTTGCAGTCTCTGAAAAATTTACGCCTTATAGTCAGAGTAAGTAGGATTGCCAATTAAATCTTACCATCAACTTCCTTTCAAGATTACTTCCATTGACTTAAACAAGGTTGAGATTGGGCCTAAAGGTTTTTCCTATAGGTTCTTTCAGTAGCCATACCGATATCTGAGAAGACATTCAGGCATAAAGCTTTCCCTGCTGCAGGGGAGTGTGTAAGATTTTAGTTACCATTCGTTTCTCATTGCAGCAAGTAGACCATTTTATTAACGTTGTGTACTAGATGAAGATACTTGTTAATAATTCAGGATTTCACTGTTGTACTTTGGCTTTGTAAACTTATAATAGATTTGAGGAGGGAAGGGAATGGAGGGAGGAAGAAAAAAGAGCATGTTGTGTAGGAAAGATGATATCAGCTTTTTAATTCTAAAAATGCTTCTTTAGCTGTTCTCGGGAAACCGGAGATAAAGAATTACACACAAAAAGGTTCCAAACTGGATGTTGTGTTCCAAGATCCACTTACACCATATACATTTCCTAATGGAAGCTTTCAAAGTATTCGAGATATTTTCCAACATGACCTGGAATACAAACTCTATTACTGGAAAGATCAAAGTTCTGGAAAGGTAAGCTCTAACTCTATTTTTTACATATTCTATAGCTGTATTACAGCTACACAATTTCTGTGCTACCTTAAGAGCTCACACTTCCGCAGAGAGCACTTTCTTGAAGTATTTTTTTCCTTTACAGAAAGATGCAACAACAAAAAGCCATAAATTTGAATTAAGTGTTGACAGCACAAAGAACTATTGCTTCTACGTACAGGGAATGATTCCCTCCCGCAGAGAAAACCGTAATGGTCAAGAAAGCATGGTGCTTTGTACCAGTGTAGGAAGAAGTATCTTAGATGGTAGGTACCTGGTGAAGTTTGTCATACAGCCTTCTGCATTCTAACAAAAAGACACTTCAATTCTGAGTATTTTTTATACCTCTGCAAGTTGTGACGCCTCTTACAGAATAAACTATTTACTGTATAAGTGAGAGGACACAGACTGAACATGGCAACTCATGGGAAGAACTCACATTAAGTTGGAGTCCACCATCATTAGCTAGTTGGAGTTGGTTTTAGGGTTTTGCTAAACTGTTTGGATTAGTTTTAAATTGTCTGAGGTTTCAGACCTCATCACTAGCCTTCAGCTTTGGGTTTTTTTTGTTTTCCGATTCTTTTCCTCAGATCCTGCCAATAACAGGTCCCACAGTAAATGCTTGAAGGATTAGCTCTAAAACATAGGACCTACATATCCATTTAACTTGTAGTTTGAACTGCACTTTAGTTATTATCTCAAAGCAGGTGATGAGACTAAGGCTTTCTTTACTGTTACATTACAAGCTCAGAGGTTGGCAGATTGACTTCTTTACTGGTAAAGAAGTTAGTGAGTAGTCCATGAATCAGCCAGTCTAATTCCAGACCAAGAAGCTGGATAACACTTCCTTCCATATAAAGTCATCAATATGTATTAATCAATATCACATTGCTGTACTGTATCTTTCTTCTCCACCAGGTAAGAGTAGTTGCACTCTAAGTAGAAAAGCTCTTCTAAAATTGGCAAATTAACTCTCTCAAATTCACTCTCTTATCTAGAGATAGATTTTAGTTTATCAGAATAGTTGAATTCCAGTAAAAGACAACCTGAATAGAAATCTCTTCTGTTGGTGTTTTCTAGCTTCTAACCTAGAATAAATTTCCAGTTGGACTTAGTTTCACAGAAATAATGCAGGGGTGGGGGGAATGGTTTGACTTGTTCTTCTGGTGGTAGCATGGTATTTCAGTGCGCTAAATAAACCAGGTGAAAACATAGCGTGAACCAGGTGAAGTAAAGCTTTACTGAACTGAAGTTCAACAAATTCACGTTGCAATGAATTCAGTTCACGCTGAGGCGGTCACTCCGCTTCTGTGATACCGTAAAATACAGAAAGCATTTTTTTAGTGCAGCGGAGTGGGTTCTAAGAGTTTGTAGCACTGTGACATTATGGCTTCTGATTACTGACTCTCAGATTTTTTTTCCCTCCCTTACAGAATATGGAGCAGAAGTCTTTATCATCATAGCCGTGATAGCGCTTGCGGTCATCACGCTTGCCATTGTGCTGTCAGTGATCCTGTGTAAACGCAAGAAAGCAAAAGCTGCAAGAGAAAAGGAACCGCTTAATGGTGTCTAAGGAAAAATTATTGTGGACACTAGTGGCAGTTCCAAAGGAGGAAAAAAAAAAAAAACCCAAAACCCAACAAAGAACAAAAATTGGGTGATTGTGTGGAACCTTTTAGCCTCTCTGACATGGGAATTTTGAAGCCCAAACTTTATGTGGATGCAAAAATCCGTTAGACAGTCGCAGGTGAAAAATCCAGAAGCTCCTGTGTCGCTGGTGGCGGGAGGCTGGGAGAGTATTCTGGTGGTTTGTTACGCTACCCTAACCCTGCTCGCATACCCTTCCCCAGCTCCTCCTATTGTCCTGTCTGAAGCAGGGTTCCAAATCAGATGGACCTTTGACTTGACCAGGTATGGTCATTCTGAAAGTATGGCCTTACTGAGCCAGAAGATTTATGGTACTTGTGAGGGGGGAAAAAAACACTACTTCTGAAAAACATGTGTCCTTTACCTAACTAAAAGGAACATCTTTCTGTTTCTATGAAACAAAACCTGAATTCATCTGACTTTCTTTTAACATTATTAACGGGTGAAATGATCTGGTAGTTCAGATGTGACAAATGCTACTATTATTTCTGCACTTCTTGGATTTAATTAACTTTGTCTATTTATCTTTGGCTATAGACAATCAAAGGAAACAAACTGAAACTACTGTACTAGCGACTTGTAAGGAACACTGTTGAATTAGGTAGCTGCTATCCATCTGGAAAGCACATCCGGATTACACTACACCTAGAGTTATACAGCCAGGGCTTGCAGTTTTTGAGGTACTACTAACTCACTTCATGCAAGCACTGAGTAGGTAGCAGTATTTACCGCATTTTGAGCATTGTTGTTAATTAAACAGTTGGTGAATTAATACTTTATGTGGTATAGATTCAAATCATCTTGGTGATGGGATCTGGAGGTACCTGTTGTTATGACTATTTTAATATTTATTTTAAAAAGGATAATCTAATTTTTATACTGGTTATATTTGTATTTGTGATGGTAATTTATACTTTTCTATGGAAATAAAGGTGTCGGGGGAAAAAAAAAAGACTTTCTTTTCCTTTTTTAAATGAAGTACGGCATTCATTTCAGTACTAAATTAAAAATACATTTAAGAAACTTACCTTGCGACAGCAGTGTAGGCAAACTGCCAGAAGTCTAACCAGGACTCTGCAAAATAGACTACCAAGGCACTCACTACCTGTAAGGATAAAAATCTGAGAAACCACAGTTCACAAACTGATGGAAGGTTTTGAGGAGTCCCTAGCTGCTTTTCAGCTGGCCGCTTATGTGAGTGATTATCCAGTGTTTGCATCCACAGCTTCTGATTCTAACAAGAAGTATATGAGGCGTCTCTTTGGATGTATCACGTAGGGATTCCCACAGTGCTGCCTCTACTGCTTGTGGTACCAATGCCCAGTCAAGGCATTACAGGGCCTGGCCCAGAGATGAGGGTCGCTGCACCTAATGTTGGTATCTGCTGCTGCTGCTAATGACAGTGATAGGCACAAAAAAAAAAATCAAGAGAAGGGAGAAAAAAAAATGTGTCTTGTAGTTGGCACTAATTGGCTGTATATCTCAAAGCTTTATACACGTCTTAAAAGAAGATATCCATTGCATTTATGAGAAGGAATAACAAGTAAAATTAATATCCCCACCTACCAATTTTTACAGAATCGTATTTTATGTTCTTCATTCCTACTGTATTATAGATACCCTCTTTCTATGAATTAAGACTCCTGTGAATGTATGAGTGTGGTTTACGGGGGTTTCCTTTGTTCTTTAATTCCCTTTTTTCACAGAGGGAAGAAAGCAAACACCACCCTACCCCTCAGAAACCCCCCTGATTACATAATATTGTGTAATAAATGCTTAATGCATTTTCTGCTGATGCATGAGCCTTGTATGGAGGAAGAATCTCACAACAGCCGTTCAAAAATATGAGAGCTTGTAGGAGTAAATTTAAAAGCGTTCCGAAGTAGTCATCATTACTTCCCTTCCTCATGCTGTTCTTGTTTCCTCTGCTTCATTCGGTGCCAAGCCCAGGGAAGGGAAGAGCTCAGAGGAAAAGGAAAGCCTGTAGGTTACAGCATAGCATTTTTTTAAACTAGACCATGCATTTGATCGGCATAAGCTACACGGAATGATGTTACAAATCACGCTTCATGACTTAAGAGATTTTTGGTTTGTTCAGAAGATGAAGGTCGGTTTGGTTAAAAGAAAGCACACCCATAGAAATGCAAAGAAGTGCCTTAAATGGCATAAGAGTGACCCTCTACTGCACAAGTTGTGGAAACCTGAAGCTCTTCTGCTCCCTAGCTGCCTATGTTATCATCCAACTATGCTGAGTAACCAGAGTCACGGGGCTCACAGATCCTATTTCAAAGAGGTTTTTGCTGTTTGTGGAGGCAGTTGAGAAAGGGGCTTTTTATTGCAAACTTCAGGAAGCGTTATCCCTTGGGTCAGTGTACTGAGCCCACGCAAAATGTTTTATGCAGAGATGTACATTTCTCAGAGTATCAGGGTGGGCAAAAGGAGTTGTTGAATAAAAGTATTGTCGCTAGGAAGAAAGAGTAGACCCTATCTCCGACACACGTGTGGCCACTTCAGCACTGTACCCATTTAAGACGGAGCCAGCCACCCAGGGACTCGATGAGAGAAAGGGAAGGCTTTTCCTAGGCGCCCAAATTCCCTGGCTTATCTTCTAAGCAGGTTTCTGTGAGCAAGCGTGCTCCTACTGATGCTGCCGATTCCCTTGTTCTGCTTTGCTCCTTGTCATCTGTTGCAGGAAAAGGTATCCAGCTATTCCAAGCGGATAAAAACATTTGCACAGTTCCCCGACATGGTACTTGTCTTCTCTCCTTATACAAATCAATATGTACCATTGCATACCGTAATAAGCAACTTTCATTTTACAGTACTGCTTTAAAATCACCTTCTTCTTCACGTGAGCGAGCAAAGGCTGATACTGTTCTGCTGCTTTTCTGCCAGCCCTAACAGCTTTACAGACAATAAAATTACTGCCATTACTTAAAATGAACAGTTGTACAGGACTTCATCAACGTATATATGACAGATATGGCAGCAAACAGCTTAGCTAACCTATTCCTAGCAGACTCAGCTTTCCACTGTGAGAAGGCTGCTGCTGAGAGCCATGTAATGATAAGAACGTGATTATGAGCTTAACGTGGTTCCCTAGTTATGTGGCAACTCAGGACAAAGAGTTTCTGCATTAAGTAAGTGCGAATAAACAGCTGTAATAGATCACCTTCTCGGTTCGGTTTTGCAACGCCGATTATTTTGCAGGTCAGCAGCGATTGCTCCACACCTTGTAACGCACAGGAACGAGTGGGCTTTTGACAGCACCGGGCCAGTTGAGTAGTCTTCTAATAACGCAGAATTTACCCTCATACGAATAACCACGGTTTCTATAGTCTGTGTCACCGAGGGAGAGAGAAGACCTGCTATTCATGTTTGAGGAAGACAGGAGAAACACTGAAGGAACAACCTGCTAGACAGGGCAGCAGCAGGACCTGGCCAGCTGAAAATCCTTCCGCAGCCGTGAGGGGTGGTGTTACTCACCATGGCCCACGCTCTCCCCCACACTACGCCCATTCTCTTAACGAAGAGAAACCCTCCCAGAAAGTTGTCCTTCCCTTCTTCGCTGGTGCGCGTCCTCCAGTGCTCTGCAGCAGGGCACGTACAAAAAGCTCAGGGCGTAGTGACCAGGACAGACGCGCTGCAAATCTCCTCCTCCTTCCACCTTGTGATGAGAAATCTTCCCACCGGCGAGATCTGTCTGCTTCTTCTGGCGCAGGCTCTCCTTCAGCCCATGGAGCCCATTTCAGTGTCCCCCCAAAGCACCCAGAAGGAACATCTGTCCCTGTAATTCCTCAGCCCCCAGCTGTAGCTGAATGAAGCAAGTCCGTACGAAGATGTGCCTTGGGGGTGGTTTCTTCCAGAGAAACCTGCCAGCAGCTGGGAATAAAGACCCAGCCACGCTGACTGCCGCCAGGGCTTTCACAGCCAGGTCCTACCTCGTGTGTCCAATTGCAGGGAATGTGCCTGCTTCTCATCTGGTCAAAATTTGGGCCCTATTAGTGACATACTTGAGTGATTTGCTCCTGCAAGAAGCTCACAAGGTTTCTGCTCCTTATTTCCCCTGGCTCCTTTGTTGGTGTTTCCATTCCTCTCCCCCAATCCCTGCTCATTTCCATTACCTGTTCTTCCCCAGAGATGAACCCACTGTCTCATTTCTGCAAACAGCTGGTTAGGATCTCACTTAAATGAAAATATAGCCCCTGAATAAATATATACCCCTTAATCAACAATCAAGAATGTATTAATAGCACGGCAGCTTTTTTTTTTTTTTTTTTACTCTCTACAGCTTCCCTTGTCACCATAATTGGATCAATACTTCCAGAACATTCGCTAGCACTGCTCTCAGTGCACCTAATTACCTTTAAATATTAATGGGTTTAGTGGCTTGTTTAACTAGCAATGAAGTTATTAATCTGAACTCAAAGAATATTCACAGTTCCAGCTCTCAGTTATCCTCGCTGATGCATTTTCTTCTATTTTTGTTTTCAAATTTTCTACCTTATTACTTCAAGAAATATTTAAATAGCAAAGTACTCAGGCATTGTTATAGTCACAAAACTATTTCATCAAAAGAGGTTTAATTAAAAACCTCCTTCCTCTGAAGAGAGAAATGTTTTCCCAATGAGATCACACGATAATTTTTTAATTAGTTCTTCAGTAATCACATAACTCAATTAAAAAGCTAGTGTAATGAAAGAGCTAGAATGACAAGTGAGATTTTAAAACCTACTCCAATAAAAAGTACTCATTATTCCAGGGGAAAAGGTGTGGGGTTTGGTTTTGGTTTTTTTAAGAGTGCATCCTTGATCAACACAGAAGGTTTTCCCTCTGCTGCCTTCATACTTTACCATCTGTTCACACCAAATACGTACGTCTCCACAGCGGTGATACTCAACCCGATTTCCCATCTTCCCACTTTAT